ATCCATGCTGACAACTCCAATTCACACACCCACATTCTCCCAAACTTCTTAGTCTAACGTGCATGTTATTGTCAAGGCTTCTGAATATTTCTTAAGAGTTACTATCAGCTAAGGGAAAGCCTGACTGCTTCTCTTTAACGTTACTGAATGTGGCTGCAGTAACACCAAGCTGCAGGTCTAATGAGGAGGCACAAAGTCATACTAAGCCACGTAACCTGTGCCTGAGCAAAACCATGTAGACACTTCCTTCAATTTCTAGACTACTTTTGTATCAAAAAAGGAGCACATGCTACCTTTGCATACAAGAGAATCCAGATAGTCACAAATTAAAAAACTACTCACCATACACATGGCTGCAGCAACCGTACTAGCATTGAGAACACTGCCCAAAACTTTCTGTGTCATTGATGCACTGACATCAACTGCAACTAAGAAGCGTTTTCCTGTTGGTTCAATTGTCTAAAATACAAAAAGAAAACAAATACACACACTAATAAATTAATTTCCAATTTCCGCTCCTGCTTTCAACCCTGAAAGTGAGTCTTCCTCTTTCTGGGACCACATGTTCCGCTCCTGCTTTCAACCCTGAAAGTTTCTGGGACCACATTAGGACAGTAACATTACCAAAAGCTCAGTGTTATGAGGTTGTGTTTGTTTGAATAAAAAAAAAGAAATAAACAAAAATAAATAAAACAAAGCCCCACTTCCCAAGTTGGGTTGTGTTTTTGTTTTTTGTTATAAGGTTTTGAACAGGTTATTCACCACAGTTATTCATCTAAACCTTAAGAACTCAGAGATTTCTTCAAAAACTTGATGAACAATATTACCTTGAAAGTTTTGTAAAATGAAGCATCTAAGGCTGCTAAAATGTCTTCATCAGGACGCCACCAAAGTTTCCCTCTACTTCCATGTCCAGCTTTATAGGTTTCTAGTGCAACCAAAATATGGAGTGGATGTATTCTACCCTACAAGCAAAATACATCAACAATTATAAAAAATCTGAACTCCTACTTTAAAAAGACAAAAGAAAGTAACAAATAAGAACCCACTACAGATATTCCATTTTAGTGGCTTCCACTTACTTTAAAAGTTCATATTGCTGATTCTAAATTTTAACACTCAAGAAGCAACAGATGAATCCAGCTGGCAATATTTGCCATAGCCCTCATCTAAGAAAAGATCCTAGCTGTCAATACACTTAACTAGGACAGTTCTTTCAGGAATAGTGGTGAAGTCCCTATTGACTCCTCTATGATATTTCAAAAGAAAAGCACAAGTATTCCACTTCATCTTTGAAAATGAATAAACTACACATTTCTCAGTAGGCATTATTTGTATTTTGTAAAGTTATCTGAAGAGATATAGCCTAGGAAGAGATTAAAATCAAAAAGACAAGCACTGATTATCAAAAAATTCTTACCTTTTTTAGTAGTTTCTCATTCCCCAGTCTTTCACACACTATTGCTACTTCTGAACCTCCTGGTTCAAGCACTGAATTGGCTGTCATCTTTCCCAAATTTCTCAACACTGCAGAAATGGACATGTCCTTCAACAGTGCCTTCCATACCTATCATCAAAGAAAGAATAATAAAAGAAAAAAAAATCTTAAATACAAGAATTGGCATCCTGAATTAACATATGCATTCCAAATAAATATCTACCTTATGCAACTATCTTCACTATTTAAGCTATTTAAATACTTACCTATTAATTTGGAAAAAAAAAACTTGCATAAGTTATTTTTTATGGAAATCTATACTAAACACTCCGAAAAGTATTACTCTATGGAGTAATAGGTACAGAAACTTACTTACTTCTTTAGATTTCAGATGATTTGTCAGCAGATGCTCTCTAACTAAACCATATTCCTCTATCAAATGAGTAACTTCCAACTCATCTTTTGTGCGTTTCACTTTCTCCACAGCCTCCAGATACTTCAGAAGCTTTTCAGTGTCAGCAGAAACTGCTTTGTCTTTATACATCTCCTGGACATCTTTCCACCCTTTGGTGATATATTTAGTAACTACGGAAATTCCTATTGAAAAAGAAAAACATTCCAAAAAGAATTACCATCTTCGTATTGGCATTTATTATTTTAACAAGCAAACCAGCTAGCAGTTTTGATTTGTTTTTTCAGGGTTCCTTCCCAGACTTGTTAACTAGCTACAAATACGGTGGGCCTGAAATACAGCCAGTTCTGTAACCACACACAACTTTGAGCAGTTGTTTTATTTATTATCCTACTTTCTATGGAAGTCATATTCCAAACATATCCCAACATATTCCAAACCAACAGATCCTCCTGAATAATGAAAAAGTATCATTTGTAAATGACAGAGACAAATTACTGGAAGTTGATTATTTTATCTTCCCTTAACATGAACAAAGGTATGATTTCTGACGTGATCATTTTTTTTTCTAAATATAATTTACGGCATAACATCGCTTAGACATCATCGTGCTACCACGGGGTATTTTGGCTTCTGCCACAGCAGCATTATAAATAAGAGAGGATTAAAACGTAGTATTTCAGATAAACAAGAAGTTATTACCTTCACTGGCAGGTTTCAGGTGGGACAACCTCAGAAGATCTTTATGAGACCAACCACTTCTTTGTTTATATTTTGTAACTGCCAGAGCAGCAGCCATGCCATTCCTTCCATTGTACCAATCTGCAACAGCTTTTCGTAGTGCCCGGCCCCAAATGCCACATTTCATGCCCTCCTTCAGATCTTTTTTGAATTGGATGAAAGTAAAGAGATGGGCTGGCACGTCACACACTTCAGGAACTGCTTTAAACGCCGCTTGTTTAGTTTTTGCATCAGAACACTGTGAACAAATTGCAAGAGCAAAAAGCAGCGGCTCCTGTTTTGCCGCTCTT